GTATGGAAAGAGCACAAATGTCCAATGACTGATGAATGGATATGTGTATACACACACACCCACACACACACACACATACCAGAATATTACTCGGTAATCAAAAAGAATAAAATCTTGCCATTTTCATGAAGTGGATAGAACTACAGCGTATTTTGCTAAGCAAAGTCAGTCAGTCAGAGAAAGACAAGTATATTATTTCACTCATATGTGGAATTTAAGATACAAAACAGATGGACATAAGGGAAGGAAAACAAAAATCATGTAAAAACAGTGAAGGAGACAAACCATAAGAGACTCTTAAATACAGAGAACAAATTGAGGGTTGCTGGAGGGGTGCTAGGTGAAGGGAAGGGCTGAAAGGGTGAGGGGCATTAAGGAGGACACATGTTGGGATGAGCCCTGGGTCTTATATGTAAGTGATGAATCACTAAATTCTATTTCTGAAATTATTATTACAGTATATGTTAACTAACTTGGATATAAATTAAAAAAAAAAAAGGTGCTATCTAAATGCTATGAATAATAAAAAAAAAGATGTTCTCTAGAGTTTACCATACGTAGTAAGAAGTGAAGTAAGAGCATTTCCAGGCAGGGATAAAGTCTTGAATAAAAGCATAGAGATGAAAAGGGCAGTTTGTTGAATATGTAACTTGTGTGAATGGGGAGTACCGGAAGATAGAGAAACTGAAAGGTAGATTGGCTTGTTTGAAACACCCAATGCCAAGCTTACAGCGCAGCAATAGGACATTTCCAAGCATGAGAGCGACATTCTCAAAATCATATTTAGGAAGATTAATCTAACTATTGAGTGTGGGATAAATTGTAACAGATAAATTAGAAAAGGGATTCCAGTGAAATGTTAGAATATACCAAACAAGAGAAAGTATCAACAAAATGACAGAATGCAGTGAGGGGTGGTTTTCAGAAAGATCACAGAGATGGAAACAATGGAACTGGCACTTGTTTGGATGTGGGAGCACAAAGAGAAGTAGTCTAAGAGGTTTTAAGGCTTAAATATGGGAAGATATTGCTCTTCTGAACAGAAAAGAGATTAGGAGGATGATCTGGCTTTCCAGAGAAAAAAATGCATTAAGAATTAAGACTATTTGAAGTGATGGTGGATCACTTATATTTAAATGTTGAGCAGACACTTGGCAATGCATGAATCTCAAAGATAATACATGGTTTGAGAATGGGTCATCACCAAGGGAGAAAGAGAGAAAAGGATGGGAGAAAAAGACAGATGAAAGAAAAACAAAAATTAGAGGAGAGAGTAGGTGCTCTTACAAGAAAGTATAATGAGAACATGGAAGATAGGGTACCATGGACACCAAAGGAGGGGAAACTTCCCCAAAAGGGTGATTGTGGAAAAAACTGAGGTGTTTATTTTTACATTGACTCCCTTCTCCTTAGTAATACAACCTGGTACCCAGAAATAGGCTCTATTTCCCAGCCTCTTTTATAGCTACATATGTCTGCTGACATAGTTTGGGCCAACGAAATGTAGGAACATATTTTCTGTGTTTCTTCTAGGAGGACTCCTTGAAAGGGAGGCGTGTATACTTTTATTTTTCCTTACTGCTACTTATAATGGTTGGAACTCCAGCAAATAATTTTTAGACCATAAGCTCATGTCAGACTGGAAAGCACACATCAAGAGATGGAGCAGCATAATAGAGCATCCTGGTTCCCTGCCCTGAAGAAGCCACTATATCACCCCTGAAAGACTACCTCTAGACTTTTCTCTTTTAGATGAGTAAACAAACACACAGCCAATCTCAAATAAGAATTGAGAGAAAAAAATTACTGCGTGTGATAGTAGAGCACAGCTCGGGACATTTCCCTCACATTGGCTATGAAAACAGCTCTAGAGTCAAACTGACTGGCTTTAAATCTAGCTCCATTATTCATTAACTATGTGATACTGGGTGAGAAATGTAACAGCTGTCAGCATATTAATAGAGATATTAATAGAACTTACCTCACAAGTTATATGAGGAATGATTTAGATTGTTTATGTAAGGTACTTCACACAGTGCAAGCACATAGTAGGTGCTCAATAAATGTAAGTGAAAAAAAATCAGGCAATCACTGATAACATGCTGTAATTTTTTAAACACATTTCATGAAATTCTGTAATTTCAGAATCATATTAAATCTGCAGTTTAGGGGAACCTGTGTGGCTCAGTCAGTTGAGTGTCTAACTTTGGCTCAGGTCATGATCTTGTTGCTCATGAGTTCAAGCCCCACATTGGACTCACTGCTGTCAGCCTGTCAATGCAGAGTCCACTTTTGGATCTTCCGTTTCTCCCTTTTTCTAACTCTTCCCTGCTTGTGCTCTCCCCCCTCAAAAAGTCTGTAGTTAAGATAAACACATTTATACTAAACAAAATACTGAACATAAAATATACTTTGTAAGCTTCAACTTATTATATAAATAAATTTTTTTACCATTTTAACTTGAATGCATACAAATTTTACAGTGTCATCTTTCATAACACTGACAAGTACATTCAGGTGTATCATACATGCTAAGTGATTTATTACCATTATTTGATTTTTATTTTTACAAAAAACAAAACAATGAAAAACCAAGTCATGGTGGGTTGAAGAAATCAGTTTCAATTCAGCTTTATAATATTTAGAAAGTATTTAAGGCTATTTAAGGCTGAATTATCACATTTCATACAATACTTCAGATATCATCTGTTATCTACTTAATCCTCAAATGTTATAAGGAAAAATTGGTGACTATGAAGTTCTTCATTGCAGTTAACATGTGTGATAAAGAATCAATTTGATTTATTAAAGCTTCATTTTAAAGTTTATTTAGTGGTAGCCAATGTGGAGGAATGGAAAGAATCCAAATTTTGTAGTCAAGTAAATCTTAGTTCAAATATAGTTCCATTTCTCATGAACATCATGGAAATAGTAGTATAAAATACGAAATAAATACAAAATTCAAAATAGTTATATAAATACAAAATTTTTTTTGTATTTATATGTAATTAGAATTCTGTGTTAATATACTTTTTTTCTGTGGCACATTCATTCTATATTTTTTTATTCAGGAAATATTTACCACAATGAGAGATAATGAAAAATATTTACTGTTCTCATTTTAAAAGATTTTCCTTTTTTTAAGTTTAAAAAAATTATTTACTTATTCATGAGAGAGAGAGCTCGTGAGCAGGGGATGGGCATAGAGAGAGGGAGGGAATCCTAAGGAGACTCTGCACTCTCAGCACACAGCCTGATGCACGGCTTGAACTCATGAACTGTGAGATCATGACCTGAGCTGAAGTCAAGAGTTGGACATTTAACCTACTGAGCCACCCAGGCGCCCCTAAAAAGATTTTCCAGTTCTAAAATATGATGTATCATTTTTGTTATTGAACGATAAGAGGGAAATAATGGCTAGGAAAGGTGGAGAGAACAGCCACAGTGATCAAGGAAATACTGGAAGGATTTTCACACTAAAAACTTTTTAAAGAAAGACTATGTTAAGAATGTAGATTCTGAGAGACTCCAAGTACTACAAAATTATAAAGAGTGTGGAGGTTGCACCTGCATTTAGATATAGAGATGTGTTATTTAATAGGATCTGGCCATAAGATCCAGTAACATGAGTCCTGCCATTCCATGAGGTCCTTGGGGAACTAATTTACAGTGAAGAGGCAGGAAGGATAAACACTGTATTCTTAGCTGGTACAAAGGTCTTAAGGTCACAAACTCGCTTTCAGAGATCTATAAATGAGCGAGGATAGATTCTATGAAGAACTCCTTTTGTCTAAATTAGGTTGAGCTCGCTTGCCAAAAAATCAAATCAGTCAGAAAGCAGATAAACCCTGCTTTACCACTTCCATTCCCAATCTCAAACCCAAACCAATCCAAGGAAAAGAGTAATCTAGGTGATGGTAGACATGAACAGCCAGAAAGGGGTTGTCAGTCTGCACCAATGTCTACTGCAAAGATGGCCTAGATTTGAATTTGCTTTCTGGGTTTATATTCTTGTTTGGGCCAAGGGAAAATGATGTCCTTCAGAATGTCCACCAATAGAAGGCTAATGTAAAAGCACTAGTGGATTATCCTCCAAAGCATATAGGTTTTTCTATTTTACCTCTTTGACTCTTTTCTTCATAAGAAGTGTATTCTAGATCTCAGTGAGTATCTGTGCAAACTTGAGAAAATAGGGCTTATAACTGAGAAAACTATGAGGGCTTCTGTAAGCATGCAAGGAGAAATAAGTCAGTGAGAAAGGATCACTGATCAATACCTAGTTTCTTAGCAGAAAGAGGTGGTTTCCAAAGACTTGCAATATTTTTTTCTTATTTTATACATCTCTCTGGTCTATACATCTCATGGCTAATACACAGCTTTCTCCATTCCATACAGAATGCCAGAGGCTGAACTTTCTTGTATCCTTGTATCCCCACAGTCCAGCAGAACACTGAACCTATAGTATATACCAATGTGTTTTTTAAGTAAATAAATAATTATTCAGCTAGCTACTGAGTAGGAAAAAAAAAAGGTATTACAGGTACATTTTTGAGAAGCATATAGCCTTTTATGAATATTCTGTTTATGGATCACAATAAATGACCCACTGAACTGAGTATCAAAATCATGTTCTACAGAATCTACAACTATAAACATTTGTAGTAGGTAAAAATTAAAGTACTGTGGCTTATTTGGGGGCAAGGCGCAGCCAAGGCAGGATTTATTTCAGCCCCTAAGGATGATTAGAATCTGGAAAGGATTCTTGCTGAAAAAACAAAAGACAAAAACAAAAAAAGCAGCCTGAAACACCTTTTAAGGTGGATTCTGACACAGATTCCTTAAGACAGCTGCAGAAGCCAGGCTCCTTTTGCCTAAGCTTAAGAGACTCATTGGTTCAGCGAGGGTGGACTGCTTTCTGAAGCCTTTGATTTGCTTCACAAATAGCGAGGAGTCAATGTGCCGTTGCCTGGCACGTGACAACAAACGCAGCTTTCAGTTACCTGAACTTTGCATTGCCTCGGTTGGTGACCTTTTCGCTTCCTGCCCCGGATTCCCCGTTTCTTTTCACCACCAATTCCCGAGTTTCTCTTCAGAGTTTGGATTATCTGTAGGATAAAGTCAGAGGTGTTTCCCCTCCGTGGTGCGAATGTATTTGTAGTGGGAGCTGGCGCTGAGCAAGCGGAACTCAGGCTCTGCTTCGAGAGAATGGTTTTTCCTTTCACAGTTTTTGCTAGTTTTTTCCCCAGCCGCCCTAACTAGGTGATAGAGGAAAGGGACCATCGTCAAATGGGCTATAACGTATTCTAACGTGTTTTCTAGAGTTTTCCCGACAATCCTAGGACCTGAAGGCGTTGGCGCCTCAAGACGGAATCCAAGACTCGCGTGACCGCCGTGCTCAGAGGCGGTGAGCGCCCCGCGGAAGGATTGCGGCGGGGAGGCACTCGCGACCCAGTACGCATGCTCGGAGCGCTCCCCTAGAGACTTCCGGGGCGGGGAGAGATGGGCGGAGGGAAGGCCGGAAGCACAGCGACGGGTCCCTGGTTCTGAATCTCGTTTCTTGGCGCGAGCGCCTAACCTGTAGCCGGGCGATCTGGAAGATGTTTGTGTGAGATCGCTGATCTCTGGTTGCACTCCCTTTCACTTTGGCACGGGGCTAGAATTTGACCTGGGGGAAATCTGACCCCCAATGAGCAGGTGGGAGTTAGCTCCCTACGGCAGCTCGTCCATTTACTCAAGCTATACTCGGCCCTCTTTAGACTCGTCACCTTCCTTTTGCCGCACATCTTCTCTAGTCGCCCTGTTTCTATCCCTTTTCAGAGGGAATTCCTCCCGCCCCGCCCCTCCCTCCTGCCATCATGTATGATCGGGCTCCCCGTTTGCTCAGATTGACTGAAGGTGGCAGCACTGAGGAGCATGTGGGTCCTGGATCCTACCAGGTACCTTTCCTGAAGCAGCAGGCAGCAGGTAAGAGGGATAGGCAAGCATTCTGTGACGGGCACCTCACTTTCGGCCTGCCCCGCTTCTGTGTGCCTGTTAAACATAATGGCATCACTTCCTAAGTGTAACAAAACATGAACTAGGTAGAGAAAATAACTCATTTTATAGGCGATGACTGGTAAAATCATTTGTCTTATTTCACAGTCAGTAATCCTATAGCTAGGACATTTGATGGTACAGTGGTTGTCTCCATCAGACTTTCAGTTGTACAGGTTAGATCTGGCATTTTGGTTTCCTGACTCTTGATGACTGTACGAGCCCCTAAATTATGTGTACTTAAGGCCTACTGTTTCTTTTCCTTGTAATCCTGTCTGCCTGACACCTTTGTTACCGTTAACCAGAGATATTGTATTTACTAAAGTGTGACTTTTATATTTTATTTAGCAATTCGATTTAAAGTCACCTTTACACCCAGTGTGGGGCCAGAACTCAGGACCCTGAGGTCTAGTCGCGTGCTCTTCCAACTGTGCCAGCCAGGAGCCACAATAACAAATATTTTTAATTTGCTTTCTGCTTTTTCTAATCTGATGATTTTGTGCAGTTTACAACCATTCAAACTGTAGTTTTTCTCTTGTTAATTTGCATTTTCTCAATTGTTGCACTATGTATTTTTAAACGAATCCATTACTCTGTATGACCGATCAGATTAGGATATTAGGTTGATTTAGGTTTATTTGGGCAGGTTTCTCATTTGTCCTTATTTCAATTTTGAATTTTACTGCTTTTCAGCATCTGATAACTGTATCAGTCTTCTTGGAGCCTATGTCTGTATTTATTACAGTTGAGTTGTTCTAAGCATTAACTCCCTAACAATATATTAGCCACCAGCCACCATCCAAAACACTTTTACCTGGGATGCTTTTCAATCCTTATTTTCTTTTGACATCTGTCTTTAAACAATGCCTGATTCATGCGTAGGACCTAATAAACATTATTTACACACTGAATCGGAATCATTCCCCCCACCCCGCCCCGGCAATCAATCCTTCATTGCCTTCTTTAAAGGTTTTAATTTTTCTAAATGCCTTTTAAATGTTTATATGGTATATTTTCCATCCTTTGCTGGTTGCTTTTCTCATGTATACTTTCTCATTCAAATCCATAGCTTGAACTACTGTCCATATTCTGATTCTGAAGACTTCCAGAAGAAAGTCTTCAGAGATATAGGTGATTTATATCTCTAAGATGAACTTTCTTCTGACCTTAGGGGTTTCTTACTGCTGTTACTTTTTTGGACATCTTTATCTGGGTAGTCGGGTTCATCATTTTCCCCATCATTACTAGCCCCTTTGAAAAATTACCTGTCAGTCAGTCAGTCATAAACTTTAAACTTTGGAATTATTTTAGACTGCTCTGACTGACCATGCCAATTGCTTATTAAGATCTATTGATTCCATCTTCTCATTGTCTCTCAAATTAGTCTCCTTTCATTTGACTGCCCTTGACTTTGTTCAGGTCTCATTATTTCTGTTCTGAATTAAACCAATTAAACATTGCTGTTTTTCCCTATATTTCAGTCTCTAATTTTTCTCTTATGGCTAAAGTGATCTTTCTAAGATATAATTATGTTATTTTAAAAAAAATGTTTTATTTATTTTTGAGAGAGAGAGACAGCGTGAGCAGGGGAGGGTCAGAGAGAGAGAGAGGGAGACACAGAATCTGAAACAGGCTCTAGGCTCTGAGCTAGCTGTTAGCAACTGAGCTTGTCTCAGGGCTTGAACCCACAAACCATGAGATCATGACCTGAGCTGAGGCCGGACGCCTAACCGACTGAGCCACCCAGGCACCCCTAATTATGTTATTTGTTAAAAAAAAAAAAAAGCTCTTTTAACACTAAGGTTAAAATCTGAATTACTTAACACACAGTGCATAAGATTGTTCATGGTCTTATTCCTGACCTGGCCTCCCACATTATCTCTCCAGGCACCCCCACCCAGTACTTCACCTACATACATATCAGCAGTTCCAACTTTGTATTTGCTAAATTCATGCTTACTCATCTGCATGCTTTTGCAGCTGCTGATACCTGTGCCCAGTATGCTGTTTCTTCTTTTTTTTCACTTGGCTGAGTCCTACTTATTTTTTCAGACTCAGGTGAAGTGAAGTTGTTTTCTGATTATTGTTTCTCAGGTCATTCTTTGACACCTTTATGACTCTTTCATAGCACTTTGATACTGTGTCTTAGTTATCTGTTAATTTATGTGGATGCCACACTAGAATGTGAGGTTCTCTGGGGGCAATGACCATGATATTTAATATTACTCTTGGTTTTTTAATGATATTTAATGTTACTCTTGGTTTTTTAACTCAATACCATAGCACAAATGCTTAATTTAAAAAATAACAATAATTCTTGTAATAAAGTCAGGAAAAAGGTCTAATGAGCTACACATAGCAGAATTAAAAACTCATTACATGACTTGTGTGAACTCTGCTTAGAGAGCAGTAAGTGAGGTGTTGCAAGGCTCTTCTTTTACTGTTTTGTAGAATTGTGCCTTGCTGACTTGTAAAAGAAACTAGGAAATTCTATGCTTAGCAACTCTGAGCAGCTGCATCCTATTGAGCCCTGTTTTAGCAATACTCAGTGACCACATGCTGATAATCAATAGAAGGTACAGATATAATTTCTGTACTGTATAATTTAACAGTAGCTATTATAGGGGCACCTGGGTGGGTCAGTTGTTTAAGGATCTGACTCTTGATTTTGGCTCAGATCATGATCTCACAGTTTGGGGGATTGAGCTCTGGGTTGGTCTCTGCACTGACAGCTTGGAGCCTGCTTGGGATTCTCTCTCTCTCTCTCTCTCTCTCTTTCTTTCTCTCTCTCTTTCTCAAAATAAATAAATGTAAAAAAAAAAGTAGCTGTTATCCCTTTCCAAGGTTCATTCTGCCTTATCCCTCTGGGGTAATGCACTGGGCTATGCAGAATTATACAGTTATTTCAATTAAGGGTCATGTAGACTTTATAGAGTATGATGTAGAAAGAGTGGATGTTGGGACTTTATATAACTTGTTATCTTGAATCATAGAAGAGCAGAGGATCTTAGAGTCTTAGATCTTCAAAAGAAAGATGCAAATGTTCTTTATTCCTAGCCTTTCTTTTTTTCTATTTAACTCGTCCTCTTACTGTAGCCTGCTTGGTCAATGCTCCAGTGTTTATTTTCACATTTTCCTCAGGAAATTCTTTTCACCCCAGTCTGCAAACTTCCTTGCCCCAGCTTTTGGCCATTGAATCAGAGACTTTTCAACCTAGACTTTGCAGCCTAAAAGGGACAGGACTGAGCTGCTCTGATTTCATGAGTAGGAGAGATAATAGATATTCCAATTCCAGATTAATGAGAGCTATTCCTGGTTTTCTCACATTTCTCTAAGAAGGAAGCATATTTTATCTCATGAAAGCAAATTTTCCCCAGAGACAACGACCCTAGTAAAATATGATAAAAACAGAATCCTTTTAGTAATGTGACTGCTCCTGGCATTATTGAGTTAAGGAGAATTTAATTGCTTTTTGAACCTGATTTATATAATAAGTGGCACTGTATGTTAGCTGTGTATTATCTGTATTGGTTCTATATCAGTTATCTAAGCTGGGTAACACTGGCTCCTAAATAGACTCTTTCCCAGATTTCTTCTTTGATGGAGGAGTGGTTAGCTTTACTTGCCACAGAAGCGTGAGTTGTTCATGGTCTTGTACTTATGCCTTTGTGCTGTGTCACCAATAACAAGTTATTAGCCAATCAGAATTTAGGGAGACCACCTCAGGAAATGCAGTCTGTATTTAAGTTTAAATAAATAACAGGTATGTGTTTACTGGATATATTGATGTCCCTGAAGATGAGTATGTTTCAAAGATCTAGTTATTGCTTGCTTATTTATTTGTTCATTTGTTTATTATTTTAAAGAGAGAGAGAGAATGAATGGAGGAGAGAGATGGGGGAGGGGAAAGAGAGAGAAATAATGAAGAATCTTAAGCAGGCTCCATGCTCAGTGTGGAGCCCAAAACTGTGCTTGATCCCACAACCCTGGTATCATGACCTGATCCAAAATCAAGAATCAGAGGCTCAACTGACTGAGCCACCCAGGTGCCCCTCTAGTCACTGCTTTTATGGCAGTAGCTGTAGCTATAGAACTTGTCCTTGAATCACATGCTGCCCACTTTCTTTCTCAGAATTTACTGACTTCTGTTGCTTCATGCCAGTTCGATTTATCCTCTGCTGTTGGTGCCTCAAACTTAGTATTTCCCAAACTGAACTTATTTCTTTCTTCTCAAATCTTTCCTTCCTCTATATTCCTAATTTTTTCTTTGTACCTGACAGTTTGATTTATCATTCGTAGTTGGCACCTCACATGTCAATATATCCATGTCACAAATCAAACCTTTTATCTCACACTCCATCAATCCTAATTCCCCAGAATCTTCTCCTATATTTTTAGATCTTAATTACTGGCAACACTATAATTATTTATTTATCTGGCTTTCCCACTTCTTGAGACCAGGGATTTAATTTATTTATTATTGTACCTTCATTGCCTCTCCCTGCACACAATAAAGCATTCACTATTGAATGAGTAATGGTGTAGTTTAGAATACCACTGATTGAATTCTATATTTATTGATTAATATGCAGGGATCTATGATAGGGAGACCAACCATCCTGATTTATATGGAATGTCCTGGTTTTGGCACTAAAAGTCCTATGTCTTGTAAACATTAAACATTAGGTATATGTAAACATTAGGTATACAGTTATTAATAAAACAGAAAAGTCCTTTCTTTCATGGAGCTAATTAGTATAAACAATTTAATATTCTTGTGGTTTTATTCAAGGTCAGTATTTCATATAAACTTTTAGCCTATTGATTAAAGATTGTATATAATCAATTTTGGAACACTTCAGTGAAGATTTTATGAGTACTGGTTTTCTTCAGTATATGGGGCTATTGTGTGTTTTTTCCCATTTTTATATGAATTTCAATATTTTGCAATTTCATACTTGTTTAGGTAGATTCAGTTAGAAACTCTGCCATGGTGTGATGACAGCTGCCTCAGATCTAGTCTGAACTTAGGATTGGTTTTCATACATATTTCACATTACCTCATGTTTGCATTGACCTAAATTAAGAAAAAAAATCTTTACTTGTGAGATTAAATACTTATGCAGAAAATTGCCTGTAAAGTATGGCACAAAAACTGAATATTCAAGAAATATAACATTGCCAAATTTCCCTTTCAATTATAGCTCTTTTCCTCTCCCCTACAGGTAAGCACTATTCTGAGTTTTATGGCAATCACTTTCTTGCTTTTCTTACGGATTATTAAATCCTGTTGATGAAATGACCCCTTTATCAGAAAGCAGCATCTCTCTTTAGTATTCCTTGTTCTAAAATATGCTTCTGATGTTATTATAGTCACTCCAGCTTCCTTTGATTCATGGGTGCATGGTATATCCACCCTTTTATTTTTAGCTTCTATGTCTTTATGTTTTATGAGGATTTTATGTAGAGAGCATAGAGTTGGTTCTTGCTTTTTTATCCAGCTGACAATCTCTGTCTTTTATATTGGGGTATTTAGAACTTTTGTATTTAATTTAATTATCAATATTGTTGTGTTTAAATTTATTCTCTTGATATTTGTTTTCCATTTATCTCATCTGCTCTTTGTTTTTTTCTTTTCTCCCCTACCTTCATTGAATGAGTTTATTTTTTTAATGATTTTGTTTTTATCTCCACTATTGCTTTACTAGCTACACCACTTCTTCTTCTTTTTTAATCATTTATTTATTTTTAGAGACTGAGAGACACAGAGCCCAAGCAGAGGAGGGGCAAAGAGAGAGGGAGACACAGAATCCGAAGCAGGCTTCAGGCTCTGAGCTGTCAGCACAGAGCCCAATGTGGGGCTTGAACTGACGAAGCATGAGATTATGACCTGAGCCAAAGTTGGATGCTTAACTGAATGAGCCGCCCAGGTGCCCCTACTAGCTACACTTCTTTATTTTGTAGTGGTTGCTTTGGAGTTTACAATATACATCCCTAATCCATCACAGTCTACCTTCAAATAATATTCTACCATTTCACATATAGTATACAAATCTTATAACAGCATGCTTCCATTTCTCCCATCTCATCTTTTGTGCTATTGTGGCCATATGTTTTACTTCTATATCTGCTATCTCACAGTCACATAAATTATTTTTGCTTTAAATAGTTATTTTTAGGGGCACCTGGGTGACTCGGTGGGTTGAGCATCTGACTTCGGCTCAAGTCATGATCTTGTGTTTGTGCGTTTGAGCCCTCCCCATCGGGCTCTGTGCTGACAGCTTAGAGCCTGGAGCCTACTTTGGGTTCTGTGTCTTCCTTTCTCTCTCCCCTCCCCCACTCATGCTCTGTTTCTCTCTGTCTCTCAAAAAAATAAAATAAAACATTAAACATTTTTTAAATCATTATTTTTAAAGAGATTAAGAATTGAGAAGAAATGCCTCACATAAAATTTGTTGTTTATCCTATTAGTATACTTTTCATTTCAGAAGTTTGATTTGGGTCTTGTTATATTTTCCCTCCTCATCATGTTCATCTTCTACCTTGTTGAACATATGAAGGATATTTATAATAGATACTTGAATGTTCTTGTGTGTTAATTCTATCTCTCCTATAGATCTTCTTCTTTTCGGTGACTTTCCTCCTGTTTATGGGACATATTTTTCTGCCACTTGGAAGAACATTTTCTGGTGTGTGCACCATTCATGTTTTTATACTATGTGGCTTGGTTTGTGTGTGCTTATGTGTTTTGAAGGAAATCTGTATCTTGTTCTCTTTCATGGTTTGGTGGTTTTCTTTAGTGATATAACAAATAATTCTTGATTTCAGTTGCATTTTAATAAATGTGGGCTTTAAAATAAACACATTATTTCTTATTTTAAACATAATATTTTTTCTTATTAGTCAAGATTAGCAGGATTTTAAACTACACAGATTATCACATGTATTCTCACAGTATTGTACATTTTTCTTTAGTGTATAAGATTCACAAATTTTGAGTCTTCACTTTCATTCTTTTATTACCTGTTGTAGATAGTTGCTCTGTTCTCTCCCATTGCTTCTTTAAAATGTGTTGCTTACGCTATCCTCATTTTCCTTCATAGGTTTCTTGAAATTTTTAAATAAATCTTTCAGGAGACTATGTCTGTCTACTAAATTTATTAAGTTTGCCTAATTTTATGATTACTTGTTCCAATGAAATTTATATCTTAGATTTATAAATATTTAGGGTCAGGCAGTCAAGAAAGATTTACCAAGTACCAAAAGAAATATATGTACCAAAGTCAAGAGACATTATTAATTACTTGCTCACCTTAAATTATTTCAATCTATGCTGTCTCTGCAAGTTTATATATGCTATTTTCTACAAATAGCAGGTGCTATTCTAAACTGTAAAACAATGGTCTTCTGAGGATAAAAATATTTTATTACGTAAACATAACTGACATTTTCATCTCAATCAAACATACCTAAAAGGAAAAGGACTTTGTTTTTTTATGTATTTTTTTTCTGTTGTCTAGGAATTCCAGTTCTGTAGGTTCCTTTATTTAATAAATAGTAATAAAAATTCTGCTGTTACATTAGATTTTTTAAAAAGTATACCAACTTCTGAGGGTACCCATTAGTTCTGAAAATGTAGTCTCAACAGTTGAAGTTACTAAATGATTTTATATGTTTCAGATGTTTTTTTCTCTGAAATCACTGGGACCCTATCTTACCTGCCAGTGATATGGTTTTACTTTTATAGGTGGCTATGCACCGTTCCTTTCTTTGGCTGCCAGAGACAGTACTTTTACTGTTGCTTCTAACACTGAGAAAGCTGTTCCAGGTCCAGGACACTATAATGTTTCAGAAGCACAGGTAAATTTATAATAGTGAGTATAATTGTCTGAGTTAGTAAGAATCATGCTTTCTTCCTCTAATAGACTAATATGTTATTTATCATATTTTTTCTTCATATCATCCTCTTTCTTCTTTTAATCTATAATGTGTTATTAGAATAAGAGAAAATAAATGTGTTTAATGTTGATTCCCCGGCTGGGTGTTCTCCATTTATGTCCATAAGACATAAAACATCGTTACATGTTTTTAGCTTGATGTGGTGACTGCAGTCTTTAGTTCTAAGAAGTCTGTGGTCTGTTCACATACTTCCTTCTCAAACCTTTAAACAAACTTGCTCTTAGCATTTCACTGGGCATTTTAGTTCGAGGAAGCTCTTCAAAGTGTGTTTCTATGTTCTTCCCATGGCAGTGCTGTGGCTCTCATTAGTCCTGTTTTTCATTCCTGGTCAGTGTTTATCACCTCAGCCAGTACACTAACTTCCTTATTTTGTTTCCTGCTTTCTACCATAAAGAAGCTAGAATGGAAGGCATGGGCTCAACTTCCAATTCAATGGGACATTTATGGCTCTTCCTTGGTTTCTTAAAACTTCCAGAATACTAATGTCTAGAGAACAAAAGACAAAAAAATAGTAGTGGGTCGTTAGATGTCATTGGAAATGTCACTCCTGCTTCCGCTCCTTGGCCTATCGCCAGCATATCATGGGTCTATGGGCTTGCTAGTTCTACCAGTAATACTTTTATAAAGACTGTAATTCCACTCTTCCAAGAGGGGAATGGAATAAAATATACAATAGATAGATTTCAAACTTATTAAATATGACAAATATCAGGGTGTTAGGATATTATATTAATACTGATTTTAGTCAATTCCTCATATAAAACAATGTAAAGTGCAATTTAGATCAGATTTTATTTTATTCCAAATTGGGTACATTTTTTGGAGTTCAAGAATAAGGATCTAGGAAATGTACTTTTTTAATGTAATGGATGACCTAGGAGGAAAAGTTCTAGTATTCTCTATTTTTGTTCTTAAAACTATAAACAAATGCCAAGAGAAGATTGGTTTCCTTCATTTAAAAGATGACTATGATTTATTTACTCAATTGCTGTTGATTTTTTTTGCTACTTTTAGGCTAAATTCCTGCAGAACTTTCAGAAGTTCAAGAAATGTGAATTTATCACACTGTTTAAAAAATAAAGTTTGTTATTTTTTTTTGTTTGTTTTTTTTGTTTTTTTGTTTATTTATTTCTAGGAGAGAGAGAGAGAGAGAGACAGCGTGAGCAGGGGAGGGTCAGAGAGAGAGGGAGTCACAGACTGAAACAGGCTCTAGGCTCTGAGCTGGCAGTCAGCACAGAGCCCGACGCGGGGCTTGAACCCACGAACCACGAGATCATGACCTAAGCAAAAGTCGGACGCTTAACCGACTAAGCCACCCAGGCGCCCCAAAGTTTGTTATTTTAAATGGCTGAATTAGGAAATACATTTGTGATGTGGCCTAGTTAGCATACTAATTCTGTAAATAATTAATATACTGAATAATAATTAAAAGGATAATCTTATTAGAGATTAATGCAAGTGATTGATAATTTATTTTTTCTTTTGGAAGCATAGGTTGAAATGTTGCTTTCTATTAGCAATTACTTAGAAATGTTACTTGGAGACTTCAAATGGAATTTTATTTTATTTTACTTTATTATATTTTATTTTATTTCTTAAAGTTTATTTGAGAGAGAGAGAAAGACAAAACACATGAATGGGATAGGGGCAGAGAGAGAAAGGGAGAGAGAGAATCCCAAGCAGGCTCCGCAGTTGCAGCACCCGACATGGGGCTCAAACATGTGAATGGTGAGACCGTGACCTAACCTGAAGTCAAGAGCTGGACACTTCACTGACTGAACCACCCAAGCACCCCCAAATGCAATTTTAAAAGACTGAAAATTTGGTTGTAGTTGTGAGGGCCTGCCTCCACTGTATGTGTTACCTTAAGCTCTTATAAAAGCATAACAATTAGGCTTTGAAATGTGTGTGCCCCAATTTGGTCTTCTCTTTTTCTCTGTTCTTGTTATGGTGAATTCACTTTGATTATGGTTGTCACCACTATTGCAAAGTTGGGACTGAGTATACTTTTTGTCTCTCTAGTTCTTGTCTAGTTATGGGAAACATCACTTTTTTCTTTGCCTCCTTCAGCATATCTGAAACATAATTTTTTTCAAAAGGAAGTTTTCTTAGAAAACAACATAAGTGAAAATAAGAAAATAAAAGAATGAAGTTTCCAAAGTACAGGTTTCTGAGCTCCTGAATAGATGATTAGCCTATTAAATCATTTGCCTTATTCTGTTCAGATCCTTTTTCCTAGAATGAATCCCACTCCAAAGGGTCAGTTCAGATTTCACTTATGTTTTCCTGGCTCTAATTCTCCTCTAGTTTGTGGTCTTTCTCTGCACGGGAGATACTGTATAGTTTCTTCCTCTGAAAGATTGGTTCTAGATGTGGAGATCTCTTCTCTGGATCTAGATAGTCACTTTCATATTTCTCACTATCTGAGCCTAGTAATAGATGTCCAAATTATGTTTGACTTTGATCTGAGAAATACATCTCACTAGAGCTGAATGATAGGATATTGTATGTAATACAATGCATGGCCTCACTCTTTGGATGAGACTCTGCCTCCTTTATTGTTGGGAGATTGCTGGCAATCTAGTAATTCATCAAATAACCGTAGCATTTAGACAAAAGTACAGTACCCAAGAAGTAATAAGGCTGTTTTTTTCACAGATTTTCAAATAAAATGTATAGTTACTTATAATGTAAATTTTGGGCCATTTATCTGACATGTTGTAGTTCCTTCTATAACCTCTTGTAAAATCAGTAGAATTGGTAATTATTAATTATTGGAAAAAAATTCCTGGTTAATTTCTACCAGTTAAAAAAATCAGATTAATTTTATTATCTTCTGTTGAAGTTCAATATAAATTCAAATTGCAGTGTGAAATGTAATATCATAGAGACCGTAGTAATGGCTTTCAAATAATCAAGAGTTGAGGAGATGTTCTGCTTTCACATGATTTTACTTTTTATCTAACTTGTAATGTTAGTGTTTTTGCAAAATCATTAAATTTTATTATAGGTCCAAACTCTTCAACATAGGAATAATGATCTCATTAAAACAGTTATCAAGAAGTGAATTGGTGACCCATTTTTTTTAACAGAAAATCACTTTTGTGTATTTCTTTTTAAAAATATTTAAAAGTTTATTTTTGAGAGAGAGAGAAAGAGAGATAGAGAGAGAGGGGGGGAGAGAGAGAGACAGAGGGTGAGCAGGGGAGGGGTAGAGAGAGGAAGACACAGAATCTGAAGCAGGCTCCAGATTCTGAGCTGTCAGCACAGAGCCCCACATGGAGGTAGAACTCACAAACCGGTAGCTGATGATCTGAGCCGAAGTCTGACGCTTAACTGACTGAGCCCCCTGGGTGGCCCTCTTTTGGGTATTTCTTAAAAGCTGAGGGTACCTGGGTGGCTCAGTTGGTTAAGCATTGACTTTGGCTCAGGTCATGATCTCACAGTCTGTGAGTTTGAGCCCAGCATTGTGCTCTGTGCTGACAGTTCAGATCCTGGAGCCTGCTTCTGATTCTATGTCTCCCACTCTCTCTGCCCCTCCCCCACTCATGGAAACGGCTGAATAAGATGCAAACTAGAGATAGGCTCATTAGTAGTGATTATGAACAACTGACATATACTATGGGTATGTGTTGGTAAGTGAAAAACTTAAAAAATTGCTGATCAATCAAATGCCACTATTACTATGAACCATTTTTAAAATGATTACACTATGACTGTTAATTGAAACTAATATTACGGAATTTTGTCTGAATTCACTGGCTATTACCAAGTTGATAATTTTCTGATTCCAGAGAATCCAGACATGTGGCATGGAGAGCTGTGGGAGATTCCTCCATGTACCTTTTCTGCAAAAAAAATGATGTGTGAAACTAATCTGAGCATAGAACCAAGCTGTTAAAACACACACACAAAAAACCAACCAATCAAACAGAAACCCTTGCTGTTGCCAGTAAGCCTGCATAAACATCCTTAGAAATGGCCAAAAAATAATTCATGAAAATAATTAATCCTAAACAAGCTTGGAAGGTTTGATTTTTCCCTGCAGGGTGAATGCCAATTTTTTAAGTTCATTTCAGAGTTGCATATTCTCCAGAGGCCTGTTAGTATATACTCTTTATTCCCGCTCTACAACTTTGAAGATTCCTTTGTCTTGAATCCTGTTATAAAACTGAGTTTTATATTCTCTTAGAGTGTCCTAAGTACAGTAAGTTTTAGTTCAAGTTCAGAAGCAAAACTGTAATTGTCATCGTCTCTTGTTTTTCCCTTTTACTAGAATGATGTCTTCATTTAAGAGCCTTAACTTTCTCAGGTTGGGTTTTAAAACTGTTTGTTCGTATTAATATCTAAAATTTACCAAATAGTTATTAATTATAAAGTGCTTCTTTTAATTATTTCATATTTTTCTCTCCAATTTAGTATAATGTAAAAGGAGGCCATAGTCTACAAAACCGGGAGAAGCGTTTTAAGAAATTTGTTTCAGATGGTCCGGGACCAGCAAGCTATGATCAGTTTTATCATGGAACATCAGATACCATGAATAGAAAAGTACTACAGGTGAAAGAGCATCTTCAATCAGTATGTTTTATTTTAAATTATGCTTCTGACGTTTCTTTTAGTTAAAATAGAAAATATTTAATGTTTTATATGGTAAGTACATTTAAAAAACTTAATATAAAAATTAGGTTTATGGGGTGCCTGGGTGGCTTAGTTGGTTAAGCGTCCGACTTTCGCTTAGGTTATTATCTCGCGGTTCGTGGGTTCGGGCCCCGCGTCGGGCTCTGTGCTGACTGCCAGCTCAGAGCCTGGAGCCTGTTTCAGTCTGTGACTCCCTCTCTCTCTGACCCTCCCCTGCTCATGCTGTCTCTCTCTCTGTCTCCTAGAAATAAATAAACATTTAAAAAAAAAATTAGGTTTATTAGAATTTATACTGTAGTTAATAATTAAATGAACACTTAGTGTTTATAAGCTAGTTTGTATTATATTAACAACTGGCTTCCTTTTTGCTTTTGATAAATCTATAATCACTTCCAGTGTCTATTGTGAACAGAAAGTAACGGATATTTTAACCTTATGAAACTCTGTGTTAAGTGTTGTTAATAATACAGTGAAATTTAAAACATGATTCCTGAAATAAAAAAGCTTAAAATTTGATGGGAGAGAAATATATAGATTGCTACTAATGCAAGATGAAATGTGGTAGGTGCTAAATGAATGACCATGTAATTAAATGCCATAGGAATCTAAAGGAAGACTACTGAATCATGGGAAAGTATACTTAGTAGAGAACATATTAGAGGAGGTTGGCCTGAAGCCGGGGGTTGGAATATACATTCCAGGCATGGAAAACTATTTGAGAGAAGATAGAGAAGAGGGTCTATGGAGGATAATGAGAAGATTATACTGACTGATGTAAAAAATTTGTGTAGGATACTAGCAGGTGATATGTTTAGAAAGAAAGGTACATTGGTATTCTATAATAATTTTTACACCAAAGTCCTATCCCTTTGAAATAAATAATCTAGAAGATTTTGGTCATGATATATTTAGAGGGTTGTCTTTTCTCTTTCTATAACTCCTTCACATAGCTTATATTAACTAAATTTTAATCAGCTTTGTTTAGAGGAACATATTTTAGAGCCAAGGATTCAAATAATGTCAATGCCATGACAATGATGTTAAGGTTTATAAGTATATTTAAATACCAGCTGTTTTGTGTGTCGCACAGAGTAAATGTTCATGTACTTAGGTAAGGATTTATCAGACCTTTTTTTTGTCTTTTTAAGAAAGAAGTGCTTGTTTTATTAGACATTAAAGTAATGTTTTGCATTTTCTTAGTGACACTGTGTGATATTTTCTTTTGAAAAGTGGTAAGTCATTATTTTTTTTCAGACTTATGAATATTTTTTACCTGACGCATTAGGGATTTCTTTCTTTTTCTTCTTTTTTGAAGCCTTCCAGTTATGAAATAAGTAAGTCATGGAAATGAAAAGTACAACATAGGAAATATAGTCAATAACATTGTATAATTTTATATGCAGACTTTGGTAACTGTACTTACTGTGGTGAGCATTGTGTAATGTATAGAATTGTCAATCACTATGTTGTGCATTTGAAACTAGTATTAGATATTTTTCAGTGACTGAATAGTAGACATAATGCTAGGCACTGATGATACATAGAAGACAAATCACTGCTGTCTGGGATCTATATTTTAATAGGGAAATAATGTAATTCAGTACAAAACAGTTGATGCACTGTTTTAATAAACATATGATAAAATGTCTACTAATAGCCCAAATTAGAGAGTTTTTGAAGGGAATAGTGATAGCACTGTCAAATTGGATCTTGAAGAAGGATTCACTAATTAGGTAAGAAGAATGGGAAAAAACACTCCAGGTAGAGAAACCACCTGCCTAAAGACATTAAGGTATTTAATGGTAAGATATGTTTGGAGAAGAACAAAGTTCTTTGGAATATTTGGAGTACAGCATATGAGGGAGAATAGTAGGAACAGAGAATGGAGAAGGAGGTAGGGGATATATTTTGGAAAGCCTTGACATCATGCAAGTCACTTTTGTAAGTACCGGGAGAAGCCATTCAATACCTCCTGTTTTAATTTGGTAATCAGTCTCATAAGTATCACTGAAACTACTTAATAGTTGTCTCTAGTGATAAGAAAAAAGTAAAATTCTGCCAGTGATAGTATGTTTATAACATAATTGTCTATTGGGCACACATGTACTCAACTCTAGCATTTATTTCAGAAACAACAAAGGATCAATATATTCTTAAAAAATTTTTTATCATGTTCATTTATTTTAGAGAGAGAGAGAGAGAGCCAGCAAGGGAAGGGCAGAGAGTGAGAGACAGAGAGAGAGAGAGAGAGAGAGAGAGAGAGAGAGAATCCTAAGCAGGTTCCCCGCTGTCAGCACAGAGCCCAACATGAGGCTCAAACTCTTGAACCACAAGATCATAAACTGAACTGAAATCAAGAGTTGGGCACTTCACCAATTGAGCCACCCAGGTGCCTTATCAATATATTCTTAATAAGTAATTTTCCAGATAACTAAAGCATTTAAATGCCAGTATTTTATTTGCTATATTTTATACCAGTATTTCTAATATATGTTACTCTTTGTTTTTATTTAAATTATAAAATATTTTACATTAAAGGAAATTTTGAAAAAAGGATAATCACCCTAAATCTTTTAGCTCTAATTTTGAGAATTCTGTTAATTTTGCATAGCTCCTTTCAGTTTATCATTAAATCACATAAATATATTACTATATACATACTTATATATAATTTTGCATATCTTACATACCAATAGTCATCAAGTCTACTTTCTATTTCAGTTAGTATTATGTCTTAGACATTTTCCTTGCTATCTAGTCAGCATAATTAGGATATTTATACAAGGCATAGGTAATGTGGAGATAAATCTGGAGCTGGGAAGGGATGAAGCGAGGAAATGTTAAAGAAAAACATGAAGTTCATTTTTGCCTGTCAGCTATTATGATAGCATGGCACCAATGACCGCTTTTGAACTGGTGATTGGTGATGTGACTATAGGAGTGAATGCCTACTTTTAGCACCAGAAATAGTTGTTTACTAAGCAAAATCAATAACTGAGCCAAGACGCCTCAGCCAATACCTGAAAGAGACACCTTACCTCTTAAGGTGGTTTTAATAGTAATATTATATATCATCTTAATTTATATGATTAGGTGAAACTTGAATTTACTCTGAATTATTTTCTTACAACAAACCTTTTTGGTTTATATTATGAAACTCATTAAGTCAATATTTAATAATTGCCTTTTAGTAAATGTTAATATTTGGTTCTTCATTCTTTCTGTTGCTTCTAAGCAAATAATAGAAAATGTTTTCTTACAGAAGTTTTCAAGGGCACCTGCAGTTTCCAGAAGTGTTTATGTTCCTTCCATTCCTTCTTGTGGACGATCATATGGTTATGATATTAATGAGGATGGCAGTATCATAAAACATTTTCCACCTGCTAGTGACAGCACACTAGGTCCAGCATACTATAAACCTCAATTTGTAAGTATAATGCATTTCCTATTAATAATTGGAAGATTGTTTATAATTATGCATGTGTTAGTTAATATAATTCTAACTGCACTAATAAATACACCCTCAAATCTCAGTGGATTAATTTAACAGAAATTCTTTTTCTCTTCATTCATATGAGTATTCCTTGTGGATAAGAGACTTTCCTCTATGTAGAGATTCAGGGATACAGGTTTATTCCATTTGTTATTATCATCATCAAAGAGCTTTGGTTCATCTGTATCCAGCTGACAGACGGGGAAAATCCCACTGCTAGTGGGAGGATTTTGTGGCCAAATCTGGGTGTTAAAACTCAGTTATACGGACATACTTAAGTGCCAAGGAAGCTGGGATATATAGTCTAACTATATCTAGGAAGAAGCGGTAACAGGCTTCACTTACTAGAATCTCTGCTACAATGTATAATCATATGCAATACATAGATATTCTTTTCCAGGATTTGAAAGGGAAAAGAGAATTTTTCTACTGAAGGAACTTGAATCTGATAGTGTAAGCATTATTCATTTCACAAATGGTTGTTTAAAAAGATAAGGAGCTTCTATTTAATTAAAATATCAAGTGTTTTATAGCAGATCCTTCTCATGCAGGTTTTCAGTTTCAAAGTTGGCCAAAGATGAGCCAAAATTTCATTCAGCCCATTGAAATCTATGAATTATCCATGAATGTGGATTGTATGTCTGGATTTACTTAATTACAAGACTGAAGTACATAGTGCTTTGGACCTGCTGTATTTTTATACTTTTATGAGATCTAGAAAAAGTAATCCCTATGAGGAAAATGACCAAAATTAAGCATAGACTTGAGGAAAGGCTGAAGAGACACCTTGGGTGAAGAATAGGTATTCTCGGATTTGGCTTGACCCTTACTCTCAATACTCTATAGTCTCTTTGTTTGTACATATCTCCATCTCTAGGCTTAGGCCCAAGTACCTTTAGAAACCATTTGGTTTGTGGCTATCCTGGGGCCGTTTGGGTCTCAGATACTTTGAACTGTGAAACTTTTTTTTTTAACATATTAATTATAATTTATATAATTACAGATAGAATAGTAGAAACATAATAACAGATACCCACGAAGGCAAACTGGTGCAGCCACTGTGGAAAACAATATGGAGTTTCCTCAAAAAGTTAAAAATAGAACCACCTTATGATCTAGTGATTGCATTAGTGGGTATTTACCCCCAAAATACAAAAACATGAATTCAAAGGGATACATGCACCCCAGGTTTATAGCAGCATTATTTACAATAGCTAAATTATGGAAGCAGCTCAAGTATACATTGATAAATGAATGGATAAAGAATATGTGGTATATATATATGCAATAGAATAGTATTCAGCTATAAAAAAGAATGTAATGTCATTTGCAACGACATGGATGGAACTAAAGAGGACAATGCTACATTAAATACCTCAGGGAAAGATAAATACCATAGGATTTCACTCACGTGGAATTTAAGAAACAAACAAAAAAAATGAGTGATAGGAAAAAAAGAGTGATGTAGGAAACAGCGTCTGCACTTGATCTTAGCCAAAAGGCTGAGAAGCAAGGAGAAACAGACTCTGAACTGTAGAGAACGAACTAGTGGTTACCAGATGGTTACTAGATGGTCAGTGTGGGTATGGGTGAAATTGACATTGGGGATTAAGGAGTGCACGTGTCATGATGAACAGTGGGTGATCTATGGGATTGTGGAATCACTGTACACCTGAAACTAATATAACACTGTATGTTAATTATACTGACATTAAAATGAAATAAAAAAATAACAGATACTCATGGACCCACCATCACATACAACGTAGTAAAATTTTGTCACGCTTGAATTAGCTGTATTTTAAAATATATTATTGGAATTGTTACCTTACCCAGTTTTCCTCCTTCCATTCTTTTTCGTTTGCCAGAGTAAACACTAAATCTATTACATACATGAATTATATATTGTATGATTTAAAAATTTCAAGTATATGGTATCCTCTGGTATGTAGGCTGCTTGCTTTTTAACTTAATGTTATATTTTCTAGATTTAATCACACAGATCTAATTCATTCATTGTCCGCAGTACTTTTATTTTTTATTTCAGAGAGTGAGAGTTTGAGTGGGAGGAAAGGGCAGAGGGAGACAGAGAGTGAATGTTAAGCAGATTCCATGCTCTGTGTGGAGACTGACATGAGGCTCAATCCCACAACCCTGGGATCATGACTGACCCAAAATCAAGTGTCAGATGCTCAACCAACTGAGCCACCCAGGTGCACCATTACTTTTTTTTACGTTTTGAAATAGTTTCAGACTGATAGAAAAGTTACAAAAATAATACAGAAAATTACTGTATTGCTCACTCAGATTCTGCAGTTAACATTTTATCACATTTGTTTTATCACTTTTTCTTCCTATATATTTGTATTATTATTTTTATCAAGGAATTTGAGAGCACATTTCAGACATGATGTTCCTTTACTCTTAAATACTTCAGTGTACATTTCCTAAGAACAAGATATTCTCTTTTACAACCACAATGTAATTATGAAAATAAGGTAGTCCTCATTCACATACTACTAATACCTGATCTACAGTTTAAAATAAATGCTAATGATCTCAATGATATCTTTTTTTCTTTTTAAAGAATTTTGTTCTGGAGTCAAATCTGGTATTACACATTGCAATTAGTTGTCATGTCTCTTCAGATTCCTTTAATTTAACACAGTTCTTTAGTCTTTAGTCTTTAGTCAGTTATAACCTTGACTTTTTATAGAGTACAGCCTAGTTATTTTGTAGAATATTTCTTAATTTGGGGTATGTGCATATTTTCTCATGATTAGAGTAAGTTTATATTTTGGCAGGAGTATTACAAAAGTGATATATCCTTCTCAGGCATAGAATGTCATTTTATCTCAAGATTGGTGATGTTAACTTGAGGTGATGTCTTTCAGTTTTATCTACTGTAAAGTTACTTTTTTAAAAAAATATATAAATATTTTGTGGGAGTTACTTTGAGAATAAATAGATATCTTTTTCTTCATTACACTCACTAGTTTAATATCTTTTGATGGTGCCTGAATTAATTTTACTGTGATGTTTATCAAATGGTTTTCTAACTCCATCTTTCCTTTAGCATTTATTTGTTGGTACTTTATTATGAAGAAGAGCTTTATCTTTCCCATTTATATTGGTATAGATTAATGAATTCCTGTTTTACTTAAAAAGTTATAATTTATCACTCTCATTATTTATTTTGAGGTTTAAATTACCTCAGATTTGATCCCTGGGAGTCCTTTTAAGCAATTCCCAGTGTCTTTTGACTTGTGCTCATCATTCTTTGAGTCTTTCTTTACCTTCTGGAACATCCAGGTACACTTAATTTTTTTCCCTGCTCCAGCCTTGGAATCAGATATGTCTTTATGGATCTCTACTTCCATTTAGTGGAGAATGGTATTTCAAAACAAAATCAGTATAGTATGTACATTCATTGCCAATGGGGTGTCACTGCTTCGGGCTATCAATGGATGAGTTAGAGATCCATACTTACTTTTCATCTATCAGTATATTAAAAACTTTGAGTTTATGCCGATACCTGATTTTGATAATTATGCTGTAGTTATGAAAGAGAATGTCTTGTTCTTAGGAAAATTCTAATACAGTACCACAGGCTTGTTTTAGTCTTTCCTTTTCCATATTTGAGAAACTTAATCATTCCATTATTCTCAATATATTTACAACTATTTGCTTAATCCTATAAAACACTGAAAGGAATTTCATTGTTAACCTATACTGTAAAAAACAGAGTTGACAAAGTACAAAGCTCTTACCTGTACGTGACCTTGAGGCTCTATACGGGCAGGAAGTGAAGGCTAAGGCAGACTTGTAAACCACCTACTTGAACATTGAAGGTGTGCTGCAACACATGCAAAGAGTACCTCTGCAAAGGTTGGAGACTTACTGGTTCAAGGCATTTAAAGAAATGCCTTATCCTACCTCGGTCCAGCCATGATCTGACCACTTAGCTAAACAGGCTGAGACTCAGTAGACGCATGTGACAAAGAATACAGAACCTGTAGAAAGTCCACTAACCAAACAACCACACAGCTTTAGGTGGCAGGGGGAGATTCTGACTTTCAGTGTTGCAACATTTTATTATCCAAAACATGCAATTTTCAACAAAAAAGTTCTGAGAGATACAAAGAACAAAAATATGGCCTGTATGTAGGAAAAGAAGCAATCAATAGAAACTGTTCTTGAGGAAGCTAGTATGTTTGACTTATTAGACAAAGTTAAGTCAGCTGTTTTAAATACATTCAAAGAGGGAAAGAAAGGTATGTCTAAAGAAGTAAAGGAAAATATAACAACAGTGTCTCACCAAGTAGCATATATCAATAAAAAGGTAGACATTATAGAAAGAAATCAAGTAAAAATTCTGGAATTAAAAAATACAGTTATGAAAATGAAAATTTGCTAGAGGGATTCAGTAATGATTTTGAACTGACAGAAGAAGGAATTTGCAAACTTGAGGTCAAATCAATTGATGTTGTCCAGTCTGACAAAAGAAAAAAGAATGAAAAACATTAACATAGCCTCAGAGACTTTGGGACACCATCAAGCATACCAACATATGCATAATAATGGAAGTCTCAGAAGGAGAGAAGAAAAAGAAAGGAGCGGAAAGAATATTTGAAGAAGTAATGGCTAAAAACATCCCACATTTGATGAAAAATATTGATTTACATATACAAGAAGCTCAATGAATTCCAAGCAGGATGAGTGTAAAGAGATACATCATAGTCAAACTGTTGAAAGACAAAGACAAAGAAATGTTAAAAGGAACAAGAAAAGTAACAAAGAATTCCCCAATAAGATTAACAACTGACTTACTAGAACCTATGGAGGCCAGAAGGCAATGGGATGATAGACGTAAAGTTTAGAAAAAAAAAAAATCAAGAATTCTATTCTTGGAAATGGAAGGTGAAGTTAGGACA